GCCATGACCCAGTGTTTGAGATTCTCTGAGTCTGAGAAGCATTTGTTTTTAGATTATATGCTGGATACAACTTGGCATTATTTGCAAATCTTGAATTTATGAAAGTTTTACTGTTTTAGCCATCTTTTACCATGTAGTGTTTGACATAAAATGTAAATTAAAGTACAATTCAGCATAGTTTTACATTTACGAGTGTTTTAAGTCTTTTAACCATCCTTTACCATGTAAGCTCATGTAGTATTGTAGTATTTGACACAAAATGTAAACTAAAGTACTATTAAACATATGTAAGACTAAAAATGTATTTCTTGTCATATAAACACAGTGTTTTAAGTTTTAACCATCTTAGTATTTGACAAAAATTTTAAAACAAAGTTCTAATCAGTATATGTAAAATTAAAAATATACTTCTTGTCATATAAACAGTAAATAAAGGCACTTTTGCTTTTCGGTATCATGGTCATGCATTGCTTTCTTGTTTCTTTATATGACATAGGAGTTTTTATTATAAATTTTAGTACTGCACAAGTATGGGTCTACTGCACGTTAAAATAAACCCTGTCTACAAGCTGGTTTTTACTGTGGTTTTTATATCCATTCCTTATTTGTTTCTCACTACCACTATTGTCCAAAATCTTGAGCATGGCCAGGTGGTTAGGGCGCTCGACTCGCGGGTTCGAATTCCCCGTCTCACCAAACATGCTCATCCTTTCAGCCGTGGGGGCTGTATAATGTTACGCTCAATCCCATTATTCGTTGGTTAGGGAGTAGTCCAAGAGTTGGCGTTGAGTGACAATGACTAGCTGCCTTCCCTCTAGTCTTTCACTGCTAAATTAGGAGCGGCTAGCGGAGATAGCCCTCGTGTAGCTTTGTGCGAAATTTAAACCAAACCAAAATCTTGAAATACGACACATCAACCAGTTTCTTTTTTCTACAATTGTAATATCCATTTCTTATTTATTACTCACAACTGCCCTTGTCCAAAATCTTAAAATATGGCACATCACAAGCATTTTCAACCAAATTAATGCTTAGATTGTTTTATATCATTAATTATTCTAAATTAACAGGTCTTGGGGGATCTGAGGGAAGTTGCAATATACAAACTTGTAAGACACCGAAACTGAAAACAAATAGCAAATGGAACCGAAGTTTGAAAGCGTTCTGGGTTTGAGATTAGTGAACCATCCACACGTTTTAAGATACTTTAAAAACATATTACTTAAATTTTGACAGAAGATCTGGAGAATTACATTAGGCACCATATGGGCTACCAGAATTTCTCAAGGTTTATATAATACTTATAAGTACCACATATTGTTTAAATATTGCCAGCTATATATTACTTAACACTAATACTTTCCTAAAGTTAATTATGTGTAGCAGAATTGCTCAGTTCTTATAAAATACTAGAATGGAGAGAGAAAGTCTGAAATAACTGGTAACGTCACAACTTAACAAAATGAGTAAACATATATATATTGTAATACTTACCAGAAATCCCGACGTATTGTCAAGTAAACAGCGAAACCGGACAGTGAAGTTTCTCTCCAGATGATGACAGTTTTCTAGTGAAAGATAAGCACATGTGATTTTATTAATATCTATTCAGGTAGATCTACATAATAAATAATACTCAGTTTTTGCTTGTCTTGAAAATGCGCGCGCACTTCATTTCAATTGATGCAAACGAAAAGCGGATGTAAATATGCTTTAGTATACACTTTGTACGACCAGGTATTGAAAGTTTTTAAAAAGGTCTAACTTTAAATTCTAGAATAAAATTATAAATTTATTTATTGATAGTATTAAGTACAGTAAAGTTTAGCCCTAACTAGATTAAAGCAAAAAAACGTACATAAATTACAGTGTTAATTTATCTCTTTATCGAATATAGGCCGTACTTAATAAAGGCTTAACTAATGTTAGGCCTAAGACAAGTGGTATTATAGATTTCGGTGTGTGCGTTTAGAATTCTTCTGTATTACTCTAGAAATCCTGTATTTATAGAATTACTGTTGCAATAAAGATACTAATTTGATGGCTAGTATAAATTAATAAGTTTATCACCCACAAGAGTAACAGAATAATGTTTCTTCTGCATAAACTGAATGACCAACTTAAAAACTTCACACTATTTTCGAACTGTAAACTACTCTACATATTAGTATCGCTACTGTTATTTCCGTGTACGTTTTATTCTTTATTTCCTTGAAGTTGTTTCTTTTTTTGAATAAGGCCTACTATCCTTTTCTGGTATATTTCTTTCCTTGTCGAAACCAACTTGAGTATCCATTTTCACTGACATATTTCTTTCTTATTTTGACAAATATGAAACTTGATTTCTTGGCATTTTATGCCTATTTTTGAACCAAAATGATTACCTTCCCCACCCCCCTTTTCGCTGATATTTCCAGTATTTTTACGCTATCTATTTGGACAAATTTTTCGATCCGATTTCTCTCTGCAACTAATTTGAACAACCTTTTATTTTTTGGTGATTGTGTACTTTCCCTTAAATGATGAAAAAAATGCACTTTCTTGTGTCAGTCTCACTTTTTGTCTCGATGACAAGCTACATATCTCTCTGTACACAAATTAAATTGCGTGATGAAATATTTTCTCTTCTTAGTCCGACATTTGCCACCAAAGCGTGTACGAACTCGTTCATTCAGAAGATAGGGAGGAACTACAGCGACACCTAATGTGGAATTCACAACTACCAGCTGATCGCAGCGACCTCTCGTGCCAAGAGGTACTCTCACCTGGTAAGTTTATTATTGGAACTAGTTAAGGTTTGTTGGTATTATTTATTAAATCCAAGTGTCTGTATAACAATATATCTTACATAAATTGTATCTATAAAGATTTCGATATACCATCAACAAAAATTTTCTAAAATTGTAGGTTACTTTTTTACCAACGAAGAGTGAGAATGACCGTCACATTATAACACCCCCACGGATGAAAGGGCGAGCATGTTTGATGATAGGATGGCGAATAATATTGTGTAGTGGTTAACAAACGAAGGCTTCTGAGATCTCATCGAGCAATATTAAAAAAAAGACCTGTTCCTTTAACCCATTTTTTATCAGTAGTTTCTTTAAGATGGGGGAAGTTTAGCAAGTAACCCCTCCCTCCTGCCCATGCAATAAGAAAACATTAGTGCGCGACTTTTCACGATTTAGCATTGCAAATACATGGGCCAATTAAAGTAAGCCCCTTTGGAAAAAATAATTAAAAACGGTACAGTAAAGTAATTTGAAGTATTTTTTGCTCCCCAGTGGCACAGCGGTATGTCTGCGGACATACAACGCTAGAAATCGGGTTTCGATACCCTTCGTGGGCACAGCACAGATAGCCCATTGTGCAGCTTTGTGCTGAACTACAAACAAATAAAATATTTTTTTTTTCAGTAAAAAGTCGAGCTTTTCAGTGATGTTATAAATAACTCCTCAATCTCTTTAACAATCCTCACAAAACCACGTTTTATGCAAATTAATTTCTTGCACGTATTTCCGGTTTGAACTTACTATATTTTGCATAGGGATAAATTATAAATATTTGACATTTTTTTTAACTATGACCTATTTCTCAAATCTTGATAAATGTGCAAAGTTCCTTCTGTTATGATTCAACAATCTCATTGGTAATGATAAACTTTTTTGATGGGAAGACCTAGTGATTAGGGTAGTCGTTTCGAAAGCAGCGGGCTGTATCCAATTCTATGATTAGGGCAGTCAATTCCAAAGCAGCGGGCTGTAGCCAATTCCATCTCCGAACTGCTGGCCCTTCCAGC